TTCTGGCTCTGCCTGCTGGGATCTGTTATCTCTGGTGGGCTGGCAGTCATAATCCATGATTCAGACAGCCCAGGCTTCCTCCACAGTGGTCCAAGGAGCAGTCCTCAGTTGGGGCAGATGTGGGCCCTACCCCTAAGCTAGAATGTGATTGTCAGAACCCTGAAAGTATTAGTTCTTAAGAAAAAAAAAAGATATATACTAGAAATAATTGTTTTATTAATTCATTGTATAATAAACAGGAGTGAGACTTCATTGTATGACTTCAGTTAAAATGCTATTTTGTATGCATTCTTTATCCACTTAAGAAGCTTGTCTGCAATAATAAAGCCACGTCATGTCTTCTTTTGGGAGGGAGAGAGTCGATGGCAGGAGGGGGTTGTGGGTGGGCCACTGAAAAGGGGGACTGAATAGGTTGTGTGGTGAAACTCTCCTGTGTCTTGGAACTGGAATTGAGTTTTGATGTTGATGAACTGATTCAACCAGGTGTTGAAGGCATGATGGCCACTGGTCTACGAAAAGGCAGAGTATGTTTTTCCCTTCTGGTTGTAACCTGGTCGAGAGCTTCCCCTTTATCAGATTGGCAGCTAAGCAGTTGTATTAGATGATCCTCGAATCTGACATCCAGCCTGTTACACTCTAGGGCTTGCTGTTTGGCCCACATTTGCTTTTTATTGTGTATTCATTCCCCTCCTACAGTGTTCTCCTAAATGAAGGTTTCTATGTAAGCAGATGATGATTTTACCTGTCAATACCAGCACTGTATTACTAACATGCAAAATACTGCAGATTTATTTTGAAAATTAAAGTTAACCAGTCACCAAAAAAAAAAATTGGCAAAACCACAATTACTTTTGCACCAACCTATAGTTCTAATTGTTCCACAATTTTTGTATTCTCTATTTTTTTAATTTTAATTAAATGGTTGGTTTAAGTTGCTGTGCTTTGATAATTAGTGACATTGCATACCTTTTAATTTGTTTATAGTCTTGTTCAAGTCTGTTATTGGTTTTCTTTTTTTTTTTTTTTTTTTTTTTTTTTTTTTTTTTTTTTTTTTTTTTTTTTTTTTTTTTTTTTTTTGGCCTTTTTTCTCTGTTGAGTTGTCTATCTTACTGATTTTCTTTTTTTTATAAGGTGGGGTTTCACCAGGTTGGTCAGGCTGGTCTTGAGCTCCCGACCTCAGGTGATCTGTCCGCCTTGGCCTCCAAAGTGCTTAAATTACAAGTGTGAATCACCACACCCAGCCTATCTTACTGATTTTCGAGAATTCTTTGTATGTTCTAGTTATTGGGCCTCTGTTAGATAAATGATTTACAGATTCTAATTCAATTCTGTGTTTCCTTTTCACTTTTGATGTTTTTGGATGAGAATTTTTTTTTAAATCTTACTATAGTTTAATTTCTCAATTTATGGTTGTGCTTTTTGTATCCTGTCTAATAAATCTCTCCCTATTCTAAGGTCAAGGTTTATTACTATGTTTTTACCTCTGTGGGGTAGTTTTGGTTTACATTCTGTAAAATAGTTTTTTGGCCACTAAGTTTTATCTGCATTGTTCCCTAAGATACAACACTCTGTTACTTTTCAAGGTTCAACAAAGTTTGGAAAAGATTTCTAAACTGGAGCAGGAAAAAGAACATTGGATGTTGGAAGCACAGTTAGCCAAAATCAAGCTAGAGAAAGAAAACCAGCGAATTGCAGATAAGCTGAAGAGTACAAGTAGTGGCCAGTTGGTTGGGCTGGCCCAGGAAAATGCTGCCGTGTCAAATGCTGCTGGCCAGGATGAAGCCACAGCTAAGGCTGTGTCGGAGCCCATTCAGAGCACCAGTCTAGTGAGTGTCTTCTTGGCTGCCCTCAGTTTTCTCTTAAATGCTAATTGGTAATGATCTAATATTCAGCATTAACCATTGTCTTAGTTCATTCAGGCTGCTATATCAAAATACCATAAACTGAGCATCTTGTAAACCACAGAAATTTATTTGTCACAGTTTTTGAGGCTGGGAAGTTCAAGATTAAGGTGCTGGGAGATTAACTGTCTGGTTAGGGTCTGTTTTCTGGTTCATAGACACCAGTCTTTTCATTGGTGTTCTCACATGGCAGAAAGGTCAGATGAGCTCCCTGGGGTCTCTTTTGTAAGGGCACTAATCCTATTAGGTTACTTCCCAAATGCTCTGCCTCCTAATACCAGCACCTTGGAGGTTAGGATTTCAACATGTGATTCTAGGGGTGGGAGGGGACACAAACACCAGGCTACAGTAACCATTTTAATTACACATTAGTTCATAACAGGAGTGATCCATGTGCTTTAGAAAAAAAGCAGGGTAGTAAGCAGGATATCTCCTTCAAAAAGTAATCATTAAATTTCCTGTGAATTTACATGAGACTTCCTCATGGTGAGGACTATGTTCCTGGAAAAGATATAGTAAGTTAAATTTAAGATGATTCTGTTTTTCTATAAAAACATTTATAATATGGAGTTATTATGTTTCTATCAAAGGACCGAATGCCTAATGTTTTTAATAGAAATAACCACAGGAGGCATGCCCGGTGGCTCACACCTGTAATCCCAGCACTTTAGGAGGCCAAGGCGGGCAGATCACCTGAGGTCAGGAGTTCCAGACCAGCCTGACCAACATGGAGAAAACCCCATCTCTACTAAAAATAAAAAATTAGCCGGGCATGGTGGTGCATACCTGAAATCCCAGCTACTCAGGAGGCTGAGGTGGGAGAATTGCTTGAACCTGGGAGGTAGAGGTTGCGGTGAGCTGAGATCGTGCCATTGCACTCCAGCCTGGGCAACAAGAGCGAAACTCCATCTCAAAAAAAAGAGAAACAGCCACAGGAAGCCACGAGTGGTGGCTCATGCCTGTAACCCCAACACTCTGGGAAGCTGAGGTGGGTTAATCACTTGAGCCCAGTAGTTTGAAACCAGCCTGGGCAACATAGTGAGACCCTGTCTCTACCAAAAGTGAAATAAAGCAAAAACAAGTAATATTAATAAAAAAGAAATGACCACAAATGCAATTTTTACCCAATTTTATGTGATACATTCCTAGAGAGTATAAAGCTTTGTAATATACATATACTATAGAAACCCAACAGGTTGTTTTTCGTGAGGCAGAATGTTGGCACATAATCTTGCAACTTTGTATTTCTTGCCTTAATGGTAATTGCAGTGATTTAGAAAGTGAAGAAACATTTCTATGGATGTTATAGAACTTTTTACTTTTAAAAATGTTTTCTAATTATACTATTCTGCTCACTGTAAAAAATTAGGAAAATCTAGACAAAGAGAAATCAAGAAGGAAAAACCCTCATAATCAAGGGAGTCTTTTAGGTGTATTTTCTTTAACAATCATTTTTTTTACAAGCTTGAGGAGCTTGAGAGCCACAGTGCTTCTTGAAGATCCTGTCCTAAGGCATGTACTTTTCTGCTCACTTTACTCCTGTAGCTCACTGATGCTATTGAAGAGCAAGTCATGGTTCTTCCACCTAATTCAGAGCATACCTGCTAGTTAAATATACAAACCAGATTTTATCTTCAGACCTTATCGCATCTTAACAGTGTCAGAATCTCAGATGATTGTGAATTTTCCTAGATATGGTAATTATGTTATTATTTACCTTTTAGAGATGGATTTCAATGTACTTAGGGTAGGGTATCAAAATGTCTGCAACTTATGCTCACATGTTTAGAAAAAAATACATCCACCCAGATCAGTAAAGCAAAATAAGCATGCTAATAATTAATGAATCTAGATAGTAGATATTCAGATGTTTACTTTTTACCCCCAACTTTTCTATATGTTTAAAATTTTTTATAATAAAATATAGAGGAGAAAAAAGAATTACTGTTTGTTCTTGCAGGTATAGGAAAAGAACAAGACTTAAAATTTTTAGAAAAGCAAAAAATAGAAAATAAGAAACATTTTAAAATAAAAACAAAACAAAAACCCCAAAACAACAAGAAGAATTAAAATTTTTAGAAAAGCAAAAACGCAATCAACAAATAAAAAGTTCCTAGTTTGGTCGTCCATGATGTTCATGACCAATGGTCATGGTGACCTTGAATTGTCACCATGCTCAACAAGGCAGTCATGTAGTGGTCACCAAAGGCAAGTCTTTGTCCCAGCCACAAGTCCTGCATGTTGGCTCTAATAGGGCAAGATGACAGTTTTTACCCCCATATCAGTGGTTTAGCATTAAGCTACAGTACGTAAATGAGGTAATGAGAGGGACATTCAACAAACAAAAGAATTCCCACATCCACCCACGTGGCATTTAGGATACTGCCCCCATTCACTTGCCTTTAGACTTTTCCTTCAGAGTCTGTCTCAAATGATGGGGTCACACTGTTCATTGTGTCTGATTTCTTCTCCCCCAGCTCCATTGCCTACATTCGTTCCTTCCTTCCTTCTTACACTTTCATTAGCAGAGTTGATGGTGGCCAGACTAGACCAGGGAGTGTGCTGCAGACAATGACATTGTAATTATAGTAATCGTGTGGCTGACACAGGTCTAAGGACTTTCCAGAGTATTAGTCAATCCTCACACAAGATTACAGGTATATCATAACTCCATTTTATAGTTAAGGAAGCCAAGGACCAAAGAGAAATAACTCACATGAAGTCACACACTTGATAAGTGATGGGATGTCTGGTCCCGTGCCCTGCCCTCTTAACCAAGATGGCCTTGTGTCTGATCCATGTCAGAAAACAATTAGATGGCATAAACTCATGTTAGCTGGGTGTGGTAGCCCACCCCTGTTGTCCTAGCTACTCCAGAGGCTGAAGCAGGAGGATCTTTTGAGCCCAGGAGTTTGAGGCTGCAGTGAGTTATGATTATGCCACTGTATCCAGCCTGGACAACAGAGTGAGGCCCTATCTCTTAAAAAAAACCAAAAATTAAAATTAAATAAACTCATTTGCTTACTGCTTCCCTTACTGAGGTGATAGAATTCCTAACACCGGCATATATATGTATATTTTATAAATTAATAAAAATTTTAAAACATGGGATGCTTCATGAATTTTCATGTCATCCTTCAGCAGGGGCCATGCTACTCTCTGTATCATTCCAATTTTAGTATATGTGCTACCGAAGCTAGCACAATTTTGATAATATTTGAGTTGTTAATGTCAGTTGCTGAAAGTTTAGGATTATCTTTTTATTTGAACATTTTCAAAGGAAAGCCCTATTCTAACATATGTAAGTGAAAAATATTTCTAGGGACATGAAAAATCTTTAGTACTGAACACTATTGGGCCATAAGTGATTAATGACCTTATTTGGGTTTAGTGACTTTAGAAGTTGCTATTTAAATCAACTAGTTAGTGTAGGGGCGGAAAGGACCTGATAGCTTTCCACCTATCATAAAGGTCACAGCCAGCACTCCTGTAACAAAGGACAGGTTAACTACCAAAAGCAGATTTCTGCCAAAAATAACTTGGAGTCTTGCCTTGCACACAGTGCAATAGAAATTAAAAGAGATGGAGCCAGGCGCGGTGGCTCAAGCCTGTAATCCCAGCACTTTGGGAGGCCGAGGCGGGTGGATCACGAGGTCAAGAGATCGAGACCATCCTGGTCAACATGGTGAAACTCCGTCTCTACTAAAAATACAAAAAGTCAGCTGGGCATGGTGGCACGTGCCTGTAATCCCAGCTACTCAGGAGGCTGAGGCAGGAGAATTGCCTGAACCCAGGAGGCGGAGGTTGCGGTGAGCCGAGATCGCGCCATTGCACTCCAGCCTGGGTAACAAGAGCGAAACTCCGTCTCAAATTAAAAAAATAGCAATAATCTTAAAGTAAAAGCACAGAACAATACACATTTCTGTTTTTTGCTGGTATTGAAATGCATTGCTTAAATTAATAGAATTTTTTTTTTTTTGAGACAGAGTCTCGCTCTGCTGCCAGGCGTCAGGCTGCAGTGCAATGGCTTGATCTTGGCTCACTACAACCTCCCCCTCCTGGGTTCAAGCAATTCTCCTGCCTCAGCCTCCCGAGTAGCTGGGACTATAGGCGCGAACCACCATCCCTAGCTAATTTTTGTATTTTTGGTAAGACGGGGTTTCACCATGTTGGCCAGGCTGGTGTCGATCTCTTGACTTCGTGATCCGCTTGCCTCGGCCTCTTAAAGTGCTGGGATTACAGGCATGAGCCACCATGCCTGGCTGCATTAATAGAATTTTTAAACATATATTTTAAGTATAAGATGACATTATCAGGCTGAGCACGGTGGCTCACGCCTGTAATCCCAGCACCTTGGGATGCTGAGGCCGGAGAATCCAGTGAATCTGGGAGGTGGAGGTTGCAGTGAGCCGAGATCGTACCATTGCACTCCAGCCCAGGGGACAGTGCAAGACTTCATTTAAAAAAAAAAAAAAAAAAAGGCCGGGCGCGGTGGCTCAAACCTGTAATCCCAGCACTTTGGGAGGCCGAGGCGGGTGGATCACGAGGTCAAGAGATCGAGACCATCCTGGTCAATATGGTGAAACCCCGTCTCTACTAAAACGACAAAAAATTAGCTGGGCATGGTGGCGCGTGCCTGTAGTCCCAGCTACTCAGGAGGCTGAGGCAGGAGAATTGCTTGAACCCAGGAGGCGGAGGTTGCGGTGAGCCGAGATCGCGCCATTGCACTCCAGCCTGGGTAACAAGAGCGAAACTCCGTCTCAAAAAAAAAAAAAAAAAAAAAAAACCTAAAAAAAAAAAAAAAAAAAAAAAAAAATCCTGAATAATCAAGCCACTAGTGTTAACATTTTTTTCCTACTAAATATCATATATAGTTAAGATTGTACTACATAAAATTTCAAATCTTAAATGTTAAAACATTGGCTGGGCATGGTGTCTCACACCAGTAATCCCAGCACTTTGGGAGGCCAAGGCAGGTGGAACGTGCGGTCAGGAGTTTGAGACCAGCCTGCCAACATGGTGAAACCTTGTCTCTCCTAAAAATAGAAAAATTAGCCAGGCGTGGTGACGTGCACCTGTAGACCCAGCTACTCAGGAGGCTGAGGCGGAGAATCGCTTGCATCTGGGAGGTGGAGGTTGCAGTGAGCCGAGATTGCCCGATTGCAATCCAGCCTAGTGACAGAGTGAGACTCTGTCTCAAAACAAAAACAAAAACAAACCATAAACATCCTATTATGAGAAACTCAGTATAAACTTATTGATTTCATAGTATTCCATATCTATTATACCTTAGTTTACCTATGATTGGACATTGTTTATAACTTTTGCTACTTTAAATAACATCTTATTTGTATGTATAAGATTATTTCTGCATGTTAAATGATTACCTCAGGATGTATTCTCAGGGTTGGAATTACTAGATCAGAAGACATGAATATTTTCAAATTCCTTGATTTTTATTACCAAATTATTTTTTAAAAGGACTGTATCAGTTTATACTCTTGTTAGTATCATATGAGAAAAATGTTGAAATAATCTGTGTTAAAAGTTTTCCTTGTATTTATACAATACCATGCTTTTGAAGAACATGGGGCTGTACCACATTTTCAAATCATAACCCGGGAGCAAGGGGGTGAGGGTGAGCAGGTGGAATGGATGTTTCCTCACAGTTTAGTTTACAAAATGCAGTCATATTGGAATATGTAAAATTAAATTATTAGAATATTATTGCAAACAATTTTTAACTGAAAGAGAATAATTGCTACTTCCACTTCATTGAGTAGAAAAATTATGGCTCTTCTATGTTAAAAGATCTTATCAAAGACTCTTATAGAGCCAGGTGGGCATAACATTCATTAGTACACATTCAGTTGATATACTCTTAGTGTTCAGAATAATACCCTGGAGGATGTTATTTAGAACACATTAAGACTGTTTATTGGGTGTCAGCTCTTATTTACAGAATCCATCGACAGTGAGTTTCCAGTAGTTTCCTTGTCATTGTACCCAAGCACATGTGGCACCTCCACCTTGAACAATAACCTCAATTCAGTAATCATGACTATCTGTTTTTGAAATCTTAAACTGTAGAAACAAACTTTAAAAAGATCTAGCAGCAGCCAGGCACAGTGACTTATGTCTGTAATCTCAGGAGGCTGGAGAAGAGGATGACTTGAGCCCAGGAATTCCACGCTGCAGTAAGCTATGATTGCACCAATATACTACAGCATGGGTGACAGAGAGAGACCTTGTGTCTAAAAAAAAAAAAAATTAGAAAAAAATCTAGCAGCATTTTAATGTGTTTAAAATTACATTTTTGTTTTTATTTAAATCTGAAATTTATGCTTAGTCATAATAACATTATATCAAAAGTAGATTTATTTATTCCTTCTCCTTTTGAGTTTTCAGCCAGGGTGTTTACTATTTGCATTTTCTGTTTGGAATATTTAATTACTATGGTCATCATAATTTACCCCTTCTTGGCTACTGCTTTGGAAATAGATGTAGGAATGTGGCTAAAAGCTGATCTTCTCCTCTCTCCCAGATGATATTGTTGGGTTTCAGTGGGAATGGCTAATCAGCATTTTGATAGAGGATTTAGTGATGACAATTATTGGTTACTGCCTCATGGCAGAAATAGTAAGTGCAGTTACCTATATCCATGTCCTATAGTAAAAGACAGTCTGAGAATGATCTAGTACTGTACCCTCAATGCTCTGTAAAATAGTGTGAACAAAGAAGAAAAAATATTAAAAGTGTATGACTTGTTGTGCTTGAAAAATGTACATACTGTGTTCTAAAAGATTTTTTTCCTTATGTTCTAGATTGGGACTTTAACCAGGTCATCTGACAGTGAGGTAATATGTCCTCATCATCATGTTGTTTCTTAGTAAATATCTAGCAACATGTCTGTCAACAAAGTCCTGCAAAAGCCATCTTGGCCCAATTGTTATTGTTTTTTCCTGACACTTCTGTCAAATGTGGAGGCAGTGTTTTCCACCTTTATCAATGGATCCATGTTGCTTTTCTCTGGTTCTGTTTTGACAGTCACCAACAAATTATAGCCTGTTTTTGTAATTGCCTTTTAGAGGAACTTGCCTTGGAAATTTGACACGGTGTGGCTTCTGCTTGGGCGTCCATTCATTGGCCTTCTACATGAGGCTGAGAGCTGTGTTAGTCCTCCCAGTGAGCAGCCGGGAAAGCATAGCTTAGCAAGCCTCCCCAGGGCCTTGATGAACAGTCTACCTGGTAGCTCTTTCTTGCCCTCATAGCAAGTGATCCCGGGTCAGATTTGGCCTGTGATACAGGTTTGCACTTTTGAATTTTGAAATATTCTAAGATGTAACTTTATTTTTTTTAAAAAAATATTTGTTTATTTTGAGACAGGGTCTTATTCTGTCGCCCAGGCTGAAGTGCAGTGGCATGATCTTGGCTCACTGCAACCTCTGCTTCCCAGGTTCAAGTGATTCTCCTGCCTGAGCCTCCTAAGTAGCTGGGACTTAGGATGTATGCCACTGGCCTGCCTAATTTTGTATTTTTAGTAGAGACAGGGTTTCACCATGTTGGCCAGGCTGGTCTCAAACTCCTGACCTCAAGTGATCCACCTGTATTGGCCTCCCAAAGTGCTATGATTACAGGTGTGAGCCATCACACCCAACCGCTCTAAGACATAACTTTATAAAGAACTGTTAAATAAACACTGAAGTCATCCAACTTACCACTGGCAAACTGGTTAATATAGTTCAAGTAAGCTGGTAGATTCTTTGATTGCTGTATTTATTCTTACAGATAATCATGAACTTCTGCATGTGTTTTTAAACTAAACAGGGTGTCATTGTTTGAGTCATTAGTAGAATTGTCAGTCTGGGACAAAGGCCACAAACTGTTCAATGTAGAAATAGTTTAATTTATTAGTGTGTTTAAGAGCATTAGTGTTGTCTTAAGATAATTTTGGAGAAAACAAGAATGTTTGGATTTTAGTGATTCCAATTAATATACCCCTTTCCCCAACCCTCTTCCAATTGGAGGAAGGCATAGGAGTCAGATAGACATTTTGAAAGTCAGGTTTGTGGCTAATAAAAGCTGGATGGAAGGCATGGTTCCAGTGGGCTTCCCAATACTTCAGTTCTGTTCTCTTGAAGCCACAACTTTATTCTGAAATAGAAAGGATGCTGAACAAAAGAAATTTGGAATATACACTCAC